GGTCCCTAGTCAAAAAAAGGTTAGGAACTGCTGGTTTAACTCCCTCAACTCCCTTCCCACCCTGTAAAATGGACTATTCTTCTCTCTCCAGCACCCCCTTGTGGCCTCCACCCAGATACTGGAACAGTACCGAAATTCTTTGTACTGTATACGTTTTTGTGGATATCACCTCACTTTATCAGATGCATGGAGTGAATCCTGTGTGGACCTTTAGGATCATTATTGAGACTAAACCTGTCACCCCATCACCGTACCCCCATGTTCTGGATGTCTTTTACAATTCACACTCCTCACCCAGCCCATATTTATATCTCTCCACACTTAGCATTAACTTGCTACAGGATTCCTTCATAACTTTCTAAGTTGAAACAAACCAAAATAACTCCATATTCTACATATTTAAATACAACTATGCACATTACATATAATATAACATGTGTAGTATCTAACCTCTAACACACCAATATGAAAGGCTGCAAATGAAAAACAGAATGTGACTAGAGTGTTGTGTGGTTTGTGGGCTGCATGGCTGTGTTCTAGCAGCATTTTCTCCCAATGTTTCGCCAGGATCTCCAAAGATACCAGTCACAGGTCCAGACGAAACACCAGGAGAAAATGCTGCTAGAACACAGCCATATAGCTCAGAAGCCACACAACACTCCAGTGATTTTGGCTGTGAAAGCCTTTGACATTAGAATGTGACTAGTTTTTCTAAATAGTTTCCAATACATGCTAAGTAAGCATGCAGAATGTCTGAAGATGAACATGCCTAAACTAGGTCATGCCATTCTCACTGCCAACCACGTACAGTTCATTATTTCCATAGTTCTAATTATTGAGCCAAGCATGGTACAGTGTTGGACTACAACTCTGAAGACCATATGAAATCCCTGTTCAGCAGTTGAAAGCCACTGGGTGACCTTGGGCAAGTCATATTCTCTCAAAAGCAAAGGCAAGCTCTCTCTGAACAAATCTTACCAAGAAAATCTATGATAAGGTCACCTTAACTTGGAGATGACTTCACAACATACAACAAGAAGTTGTAACTTTTTTTCTGCATAACAAATTAAATTGAATTCGATAGTCATAGAATCATAGAATCATAGAGTTGGAAGAGACCTCATGGGCCATCCAGTCCAACTCCCTGCCAAGAAGCTGGAAAATCGCATTCAAAGCACCCCCAACAGATGGCCATCCAGCCTCTGTTTAAAAGCCTCCAAAGAAGGAGCCTCCACCACGGCAGAGAGTTCCACTGCTGAACGGCTCTCGCAGTCAGGAAGTTCTTCTTAATGTTCAGGTGGAATCTACTTTCCTGTAGTATGAAGCCATCGTTCCACGTCCTAGTCTCCAGGGCAGCAGAAAACAAACTTGCTCCCCCCTCCCTGTGGCTTCCTCTAACATATGTATACAAGGCTATCATGTCTCCTCTCAGTCTTCTCTTCTGCAGGCTAAACGTGCCCAGCTCTTTACGCTGCTCCTCATGGGGCTTGTTCTTCAGACCCTTGATCATTTTAGTCACCTTCCTCTAGACACAACCCAGCTTGTCAATATCTCCCTTCAATTGTGGTGCCCAGAATTAGACACAATATTCTAGGTGGGGTCTAAACAAGGCAGAATAGAGGGGTAGCATGACTTCCCTGGATCTAGACACTATACTCCTATTGATGCAGGTCAAAATCCCATTGGCTTTTTTAGCTGCAGCATCACATTGTTGGGTCATGCTTAACTTGTCCACGAGGATGCCAAGATCTTTTTCACAGGTACTGCTCTCGAGCCACATGTTTTTAAAAGTGCATACACTCAGCCCTATGTATCCATGTATGTATGAGTGTGTATGTATACATGTATGTGTGCATGTATACACACATATGTATGTATACACACACAAACACACACATATGTACATGCTTACTCACAGCAAAAAGCAAACCTGAATTTCACCATTTTATATAAGGGACATCATTTTATTATGCCATGGTATAGAATGGCATTTTAGGAGACATGAATTTGGGTTATTATGGTGGGAATGGTTCTGGAACCAGATTCCAGTGAGCCTACTATATTTACACATAACAATATGATATGTGTCTCTATGCATAGATATATCATAGTGTTCCCAAGTTTTCAAACTAGCAATAAGGCACAGTAGAAATTAATGAGAGACTCTGTTAACCTAATTCCTAATTGTTAACCCACCCTGTCCTGAATTTCTCCTGTGCTTTATTGCTAGTTTGAAACCTGGCAACATTAGCATCATTGTTCTCTTCCTAAATACCAATCTTCCTACTAGGTTTGGGGGACAATAGCTATAAACAAGCACCTTTGTCTCCCTACAGATGTCTCGGTCCTCAAACACTCTCTGCTTCATTAGGAAAAATGCTGCACTCGCAGAGCTCAGGTGGTGTTGTATTTCAGTGTCAGTGTTGACTTTTGTGCAGAGGTGGCTGCCAAGGTAGCAGAAATAGTCAACATTTTCTAACGTTACACCATTAAGCTGTATTTCTGGCATTGCAGAGGGATTGGCTGGTGACATATTTTTCACATGCCTGTGCTTGATATTGTCCAACTGTAGTATGCCCAGTGTGCTGTTGCACGCTGGGCCTGTGCATAAGACTGTAGACAGGACATAAATTCCGTGTGCCCAACGGGACACTGGGGCTGCCTCAGATTAAAGGCCTTTGGATTTCCTTAAAACACAGTCTCTAGAATGCTTAAAGGATCAACAAAGTTCTTCATTAATGAAAACAAACAGGTACTTTAAGGCTTTCTTAACAATCTATAGGCTCTTTCAATCTTGTCCACAGGGAACAGGCCCTATCTTCATGACTGGTATTTTAACTAATGGGGAAATCCTTAACTTCTAATCTGGGCAGTCTTTCTTTGCCTCTGTTGGCATGGAGCCCCTGCACCCGGTACCAACTGCTTCTGGCTTCCGCAAGAGACCCTTACCAAGCAGAGCTTTGTAGACTTCCAGAGGAAAAAGGAGTTCAGGTTTCGGTGATGGCTGGCTGAAGTCCCTCAGCAAAGGAGCTGTAAGGCTGTATAACCCCGGCCAAGCTGTATACTGTATATCTCCCCGCCCAAGCTGTAGAAGACGAAGCTTTCTACAGGAGCTCTTGGTATTATGTCCTACATGGAAAGCTTCTCTGTGTGGACTGAACCCAAACTGGCTCCTTTTCCCTCCAAAACCCCAAAAGGGGGTGGGACCAGGGAACCTAACTGTAATTGACAGGTGGCTTGCCCTATGATTGCAGCCGAAAGAAGCCACTATCTGCAGAGTCCCTGAAACTTGGGACTATAACAAACATTAAATGCAAAGCAAACAAAATTGGAGCTCCTCCTGCAGTTGTACCTGCACACCCAGATATGTATAGGTTTCAGGCTGATTGAATTTTAAGGTTTATTATTATTATTAATAATAATACAACTCTTTTGGTTAGCTCCTGGCACGATATATAAATAAATACACATTATTGCTATTATTATTATTATTCAACCAGCTGTTGGGAATTATTATTATTATTAAACTTTATTTGTACCCCGCTAGCATCTCCCGAAGGACTCGATGCGGCTTACAAAGGCCAAGGCCTCAATACACAACATAAAAATACACTTAAAGCAAATTAAAAACAGTTAAAGCAGTATAAAACAACAAAGAACCACAAGCAATAAACAATACATCAAACAAGATAAAAAACTGGACCGGGCCAGAGTGAAGGGTACAGGATTAAAAAGTGCTGATGTGACGGGTGATATGTAAGGATTACAGGGCAAGTGCAATGTGCAGTGTGCGGYAGTCTTAATTCTAATAAAGTGCRCCTGGGACTTGGTATTGGAGATTTCYTAATCGGGAAAGGCACATCGGAACAGCCAGGTCTTCAAGTTCTTTCTGAAGCAGTGATTCTCAACCTTCCTAAAGCTGCGACCCCTTAATACAGTTCCTCATGTTGTGGTGACCCCCAGCCATAACATTATTTTAGTTGCTATTTCATAACTGTAATTTTGTTACTGTTCTGAATTGCARTRTAAATATCTGATATGCAGGATATATTTTCATTCACTGGACCAAATTTGGCACAAATACCTGATAGGCCCAAATTTGAATACTGRTGGGGTTGGGGGGGATTGATTTTGTCATTTGGGAGTTGTAGTTGCTGGGATTTGTAGGTCACCTACACTCAAAGAGCATTCTGAACTCCAAAAACGATGGAATTGAACCAAACTTGGCACACAGAACTCCAATGACCAAAAGAAAATACTGGTAGTGTTTGGTGGGCAACGACCTTGAGTTCTGGAGTTGTAGTTCACCTACAACGAGAGAGTACTGTGAACTCAAATAATGATAGATCTGGACCAAACTTGGCTTGGATGCTCAATTACGCCCAACTGTAAACACTGGTCGAGTTTGGGGAAAATAGACCTTGACATTTGAGAGTTGTAGTTTATAGTTCACCTACACTCAGATTATTTTGAACCCCACCAACAATAGAATTGGGTGAAAACTTCCCACAGAGAAGCCCCATGACCAACAGAAAATACTGTGTTTTCTGATAGTCTTTGGTGACCCCCCTGATACTGCCTCGTGACCCCCCCAGGGGTCCCGACCCCCAGGTTGAGAAACACTGTCCTGAAGACTGCCAATGTAGGGGCCTGTCTAAGATCTTTGGGGAAAGTGTTCCAGAGACGGGGGGCCACCACGGAAAAGGCCCTGTCTCGTGTCCCCACCAAACGTGCTTGCGGCGCCGCTTGTGGGAGCTGAAGTCCAAAATACCTGGGGGGAAGGCCTAAGTCGGGTCATGCCTGGTGTATACATTGAAGGGACGCCACACCCTGTACTTCCGGCCCCACCCCTTTCCTGCTTCTCAATTCTTCACTGCTCCGCGCCACAGTCCTCCCACCAAGAGGTGGCGCTGCAGCGCAGAGCCTTGATAACGGGAGGGAACTGGCGGGCGGAAGTCGTGCAAAACCGCCTTTTCCCCTGCGTTTCCGCTGACCCCGCGCTCTCTCTCCCTCCCTCCCTGCCCAGCGCCGGCTCTTCCCCTGTTGCTGTGAGGCGAGCGAGTGGGTGGGCGCCATGGCCGCCTCGAAGCCCGTGGAGGCGCCCACGGGGGGCGGCGGCGGGGGCTCAGGGACGGGCCTCTCGCGGTGGCAGCTGGCCCTGGCGGTGGGGGCGCCGCTGCTGCTGGGTGCGGGGGCCTGGTACTGGTGGGGGCGGCGGAGGAGGGCGGCGCGGGGCAAGGGCGCCAGCGAGAGGAAGACCCCCGAAGGCCGCGCCAGCCCCGCCCCCGCAGACGCCTCGGCCACAGGGCACCCCAATGGCCCCGGCGGGGACGAGATGGTGAGGAAGAAAGGGACGGAGAGAGAGGGGGGGTTGGGGTTCCAGGCAGGCCGCTTGCAGCCCCTCTAGAACAGGTGTGCGCCAACCTGGGCCCTCCAGGTGTTTTGGACTTCAACTCCCACCATTCCTAACAGCCTCAGGCCCTTTCCTTTTGCCCCTCAGCCGCTTAAGCCAGTATTCAAAAGGAAGGGGCCTGAGGCTGTTAGGAATGGTGGGAGTTGAAGTCCAAAACACCTGGAGGGCCCAGGTTTGCCCATTCGGGTGGAGGACTTAAAACCCTTTTTCTTTCTATCATAGGGAAGATGAGTATTGTTCTCACCAGTTCACACTTGTCACTTTAAGACTGAAAAGATACATACATGGACCTCATCACACTAGAGAATGAATCCAGTTTAAACCCCTTTGCAGCCGCCTGCAGATTTTTGGGGTTCGTAGTTTAGGGAGGAGGCTTTCACAGGCTTTCTAAACTGCAAACCTTAGAATTGTGCAGGAGGAATAAAGTGGATTCATTCTCTGTAGTGTGATGTAGCAAGATCCATGCCTGAAGTAGATCTGTTTTCAAGGTGTTGGGACTCTTGAGGCTGCAGAGGAAGGGATGACAAAATTTTGAGTATTGTGTGAAATTTTGGTTAGAATGGATCTATACAAGGCATGGGCAAACTTCAGCCCTCCAGGTGTTTTGGACTTCTATTCCAATTCCTAACAGTCTCAGACCTATTCCTTTTCCCTCGAACTGCTTAAGTAGCTGAGGCAGAAAAGGAAGGGGCCTGAGGCCAGGCATGTAGCGGGGGGGGGGGGGGCGGCCGAAATTCTCATGGTGGTCCGCGAGAAGGCCTTACTGGTACATTATTTAAACTGTTACGTTTATTCATATCATGATCTGATCACCATGCTCAATATATCCCATATGCATGGGGGTATTGGGGTAATGATACAAAAGGTTTGCTAGGGTAGACCCTCTTTCACTCAGACTCAGCCCCCCCCCCCCGAAACAAAATCCTGGCTACTGGCCTGCCTGAGGCTGTTAGGAATTGTGGGAGTTGAACTCCAAAACAACTGGAGGGAAGGCTCAAGTTTGTCCATGCGGGTGGAGGAAGCAATGATGAGGCTAGGGAACTGTTTCTTCTTTTCTGAACTTTTTGGAGACAAAGAAAGATCAAAGTGGAACAGGTGGACTTAGAAATGACTTTGTATTTTTAAAGCTTCAGTTTCATAGGCCCCTTCCGCTCCGCTGAATAAAATCTCACATTTTCTGCTTTGAACTGGACTATATGGCAGTGTGGACTCAGATAACCCAGATCAAAACTTGACAATTTGGGATTTTCTGCCTTGATATTCTGCGTTATATGGCTGTGTGGAAGAGCCCATAGTGCAGTCTTGTTGCACATAGTTGTACTATATAAAGAGTTGGTTTTTCTTAATTTCTGAGCTTATTCTTTCTACGATAGCGAAGATGAGTATTGTTTCCACCAGTTCACGCTTGCCACTTTAAGACTGAAAAGGTATACACATGATCCAAGCCTGAAGTGGATTTGATTTCAAAGTGTATTGTCAAACATCAGGAGTCTTGAGACTGCAGAGGAAAGAATAACAATTTTTTTAGTATTTTGTAAAATAATGGAAATTTTGGTTAAAAATGGATGGCAGACACGGGCAAACTTCGGCCCTCCAGGTGTTTTGGACTTCAATTCCCGCAATTCTTAACAGCCAGTAGTTTGCCAATGCCTGATCTAAATCCAGTGCCTACTAAACCAAAACGTAGTTTTCTCCTTTAACATCATAAACCTCAAACATAAAAGTAATAAGTATAAAATATCCATAGCAAATGTATGCATATGTATTCAGAAATAAGATTAGGTTGCTGTGCGTTTTTCGGGCTCTATGACTATGTTCCAGTAGTATTCCAGTAGGGTTCCTCTGGGATTATTATGTTGATATTTGTCTGTTGATATTGGAATCCACCCTGAGCGTCCACCCCCCCCCCCCCGGGAAGATACGGCATAATATAAATAAAGTTTATTCTTCTTCTTACTATTATTCTCTCCTAACATTTCACCTGCATCTGTTAGTGGCATCACTCTGTTTAGTGGCATTTACTTCCAGGTGGGCCAGGTTTGTTTTGTTTTGTGTGTGTGTGTCTGTCAAGAGCGACTTGAGAAACTGCAAGTTGCTTCTGGTGTGGGAGAATTGGCTGTCTGCAAGGACCTTGCCTAGGGGCCGCCTGGATTTTTTTTGGTGTTTTATCATTCTTGTGGGAGGCTTCTCTTATGTCCCTGCATGGAGAGCCGGAGCTGACAGAGGGAGCTCATCCGTGTTCTCCCCGGATTCAAACCTGCGACCTGTCGGTCTTCAGTCCTGCCGGCACAAGGGTTTAACCCACTGCGCCACCGGTGGGTCAGTGGTGTGATTTGGGCATTGAATATCTTTTCGTCATAGAAACTCACTGAGTGACATTGGGCAAGCCGCACTCAGGGATTAACTAGTGTATCCTTTGTGGATGAAGTGAAAGATTTTGCTGTATGAAGGGAACCATGTTATGGCCTGAAGACTAGTAGTGGGCATCTCTTTCAATCCGAGACTACCAATTGTTCTTAGTGTTTGGAGATGAAGTTGCAATTGAGTTGGATGAAAATAGTTCCTGTGGGAGGCAAGAAGGATGGAAGAGTACATCTTATATGAGTAGGTTGGGCCACCTCCTTCTCAGTAATTATTCGTATTAAATCTGCCACAGTAATTTGCTTTGCTTTTCAATGAGAAAGTATTTAGATTGGGACACTCAACATAGTTTAGTGGTTTGGGTACTGGACTCCATGCCTCTGAAAATCTGGATTTGAATTTCTGTTCAGCTATGGAAACTCAGTGGGTGACCTTGGACGAATCTCATTCTCTCAGCCTCAGAGGAAGGCAAGGGCAAACCATCTCTGAACAAATCTTGTTAAGAGAATCTCATGATAGATTGTCTTAGAGTCTCTGTAAGTTGTAAATGTTGAAGGCAAACAACAGGAAATCTAGATTGACCTAAAATCTAGGTAGCCTAGTTTGCTTTGATGGACCTAATAAAAGCATTATCTAATCTCAGTTTTGGATTTGTTTTTCTTTTGGCCCATTACAGATATTTCTAGTCTGTATTTTTAGATTGTTTTTCATTTTCAGGGTTTGCATTTTGAGGACTTCACAACTTTCTCCATCCACCGTGTAGCAACCATTTTTATTTGTACTGATGGACAATATTATAGTCGGTTTAATTGTTTAATCCCAAACTCTGTATCCCAAATACTCACATCCAAAATGTAGACTGCTTTCAAATAAAATAGAGTTGATTTGATTGATTAGTTCTTTGGTATTAGCATCTGTGTTAGTTCATGTACATCTAGAATCTAAAGTGGAAATTTGTAATAGCTGTTTTGCTGTAGTCTCAGAATTCATTAATCAAATACAGTACAACTCCTTATCTGCAGGGAGTATGATCCTGGACCTTGCATGGATACACAAAACTAAAGATAGTTGTGAGTCCTGTTAGAATGAAGGCCCAGGAATACCTCAGAGGTGCGCTGGAGTATCTAGAAATGTTCTAGAGGGGACATATTTTGTCGAGTATGGGTAAATGAAATCACAGATTTGGGGATTGTATTGTATGTTATTGTTTAGTGACAGGAGAGGTTGTTATTCTTATGTTAAAGTTCAATATGTATTCATGCATTTATTGAGGGCTTGCCAAATTGCTTTATGAATGTGAAAGGCAATACTGATGGATAATAAGGATTTTATTCTAATGTGTTATAATGCTTGCCAGAACAGCTCAACCCCATTGCTGCATTGTGCCAATATTATATAGTCTGATTTTTATAGACAGCTAGTTAATTTTGCATGCAATTTGGAATGAATTCTTTAAATAAATTCTGAAGATCTCTAAATGTGAATATCTGACTGACGCAATCTTTGACAGTGTTTTCTCAGGAAATGGGAAAAGTATTCTGGGAAATAAACCTCGGTACCTCACATAAGAAGTAAAATAGCATATATTATTGTACCTGGAAAAAACGTCCTTTTAAAAACTACGTGATTTTATGCATTTGCATTGTTTTCTTCTAAAACAAATGACAATACATTTTATTGTTAGGGCAATTTAATATATATTAAAAATATGAATAGTGCTTATAAATTCAGGAAGAAATAGTTTACTCAGAATCATGTGTCCTTCTCAAAATTGATGCAGTTCTTCATGTTTGAAGTCTTTCTGCAGCCAAATGCTTTCTATAGCTCAAAACACAAATATTTTCTAGAGTCAGTTCATTTTACTTTTAATTGACCTGATTTCATAATATTTTCTTGTGGCTGATTCTTGGCTGTTAAGAATTAATATTACAATTCAGTCCCAACTTTGTGTATGATTTTAGAAGTAACTCCTAAACCCATAGTGATATAGTATGTTACATTTTGGAATATCTCCAGGCTGTTTATTTAAGTCACAACATGTACTATGGATAGGCTAAAAAGAAGCAGCTCTCAGCAAAGCATTTGTCACTGGAATTTTATTAACAACCTTGGATCAAACCAAAGAAGAATAATTGTGCCTAGGTTATTTGGGGGAGGGGGGAAGGATGTTGGTTCTAAGGCATGAGAAGGTGAAAGGCAAAAACAGATACCTGCTATTAATGTATTTATAATGAGTTAATATAATCTCTTGTCTTCTCGGAGAGCATGCTCACTGTGTGACAGCCAAATTCCCTGTTCTACTTCAGAAGACACTGTCCCCCAAAACAAAGGACTTGTTTATAAGCATTTTGATATGCCAAAAAAGGAGGGGTTGATGCACATTCCTTTGGCATTTGTCTTTTATTGTGTATCTCAAGATTCAGCATTATTTTCTTTGCAAATATACTCTGTTGTGTTTTCTTATTTTCCAGTTAGACAAGATAGTATTCATAGAGCATTAGTTTAAGCTAACTTTAAAGGACTGGATGAGATTGATTGATTGATTAAATGAATGAATGTATGCTGTGAGATTCAGGCATTTTTGAAAAGATCGTTGAAAATAAATCTCCACCTTTCTTCCAAGCCCTCTCTGATTGTTAGAGGACTGAGAGTGAGGGTATGGATTTGCAGGAACTTTGGAAATTTACAGAAGCAGAAGAAATGCATGTACTACTGCAAAATTTCCTGCCCTTACTCCTTATTTAAGAATGTGAACAAGCAATATCTTTTCTGACTAGCTTAACACTTGAACAGTGTATGTAAGTAGCAACCTTTCCTCCTTTAAAAGCTTGCTGCAAGTAAAAACCTGCAGACTATAGAGCTTTCTACAGAGCTCAGAAGGTTGGATGGAGGATAATCTCTAGTTTAGTTTTTGCAGGGGCTTCTATAAAGGAAGAACCCGTGGAGCACATGCATGTTTCTTTTTTTCTTAACCAAGCTGTTGCGTTGGTGGTAGCCTTCTGTAGGTGACTTGTGTCTTGCTCTGAGACACTTATCCCTGTGGAACAGATGAGTAATCCTATTCAGTATTTCTTTAGACAGCATGTTCACTTGATGAAACAAACTTTGGATTTACCTAGCTGAAACTCTGTTTTGTGGCAACCTAAGGAAATAGGTCTTTCAGAGATGTCCTCAGACATTTGTAATGATTGAGTAGATAGGGAAAATATGTAATGTATTATTGAGCAAATACTCTAAGTTGCCTATTTGGTCACACCATGCTGTCAAAAATTTAAGCTTTGTGAGATGCATTTTGGCACTTGAAAAGCAGATTTGGCTATACGTGGCCTTTCAGATGTACCTTTCATCCAAAATAACTAACACACCTAATGGTGAGGGAATTCCAGTCCAACAAGTTCTTGTGACCTATTCCTGCTTTATAGTCTTATCCAGCCTGTTCTGTTTTTAATCTCCACTCTGGAAAAAATGTTTATGCATAGTAAATATTTTTCTTTTTACCCCCTGCAGAGCCCTCTTGATAGAGCCCAAGCAGCAAAGAACAAAGGCAACAAGTACTTTAAAGCTGGGAAGTATGAGCAGGCTATTCAGTGCTATACCGAAGCAATTGGCTTGTGTCCCCCTGAGAAAAATTCTGACCTTTCTACCTTTTACCAGAACAGAGCTGCCGCATATGAACAACTGGTATGAAATTTTAAAGTACTGTAGTATGCTTTGTTGCAACTTTAATATATACTTATCTGCTTTGTAAACAATGTGACTGATGTAAAAATCTTGTCGTTTACTATAAGAAAATAATTTATATTTAATCCACTATTTCTATATCTATAGCAAAAATGGAAAGAGGTGGCCCAAGACTGCACAAAGGCAGTTGAGCTTAATCCCAGATATGTGAAAGCACTCTACAGGCGGGCAAAAGCACATGAGAAACTTGACAATAAGAAAGAGTGTTTAGAAGGTGGGTATACTGTACTAAAAAACTATTAGATAAGTTGAAGTTAAAGATTATGTTCTCAGGAATGTTAAAAATGCCTCTAGTCCTAATACAAATGATTTTTATTCTTTTTCAATTTCTAATATTTTAATGTGATAAAAATTATTTGTCTGTATAGTCAGTGAGAGAACAGACTTAATTTTCTTCAAAATTCTTGCCGAAAAAGGAAAGTTGGTTTTTTGACCAGTTGGTAGTTTAGGTGTCAAATTTCTGGATTCCACCAATCCACTCATCTTGGGTTTAAGTTTCGTTTTATTAGTGTCCATCCAGCCCATTACAGTATCAAGGTATTGATCCAGCAGGAAAAGTAGAGTGTCGTCAGCACGTTGAAGGTACTCAGTCTTCCAGACTGCTAATGATGTCATGCAGTGCGTTAAAAATACTAAACAGAATGGGGAATGGAAACTTGCAGCACCCCACAGCATATAGCCATAATGCTAAACAGGAACGTCCAGAGCACTCTCTGGAGTCAGCCGTATAATAATACTATGCTTCCTACTTGCATCCTCTTATGTTGGACTATAGGATGGTCAACAGTATTATCAGCTTTTGAGGGGCCCAGCAGAATCAACAGAGCATCCCTCTTTGAAGTTTTTTGCTTGCATCAGGTTATCAGTTAGGGCAACCAAGATTCTTATTAGTAATTCATGGCTTTTTTTCTGTTTGTATCTTCCTAGATGTCACTGCAGTTTGTATTTTAGAAGGCTTTCAAAATCAGCAAAGTATGCTACTAGCAGACAAAGTTCTTAAACTTCTTGGAAAAGAAAAAGCCAAAGAAAAATACAAGGTATGACTTCAGTATTCATTATGTCTTTAGTAACAGATCTTTTGGTGATGGTTCTGCAATGTAGCTATCATGAGAACTTTTCATTTTTAACTTCAAGAACAACTTAAAAGATGTAATTAATCCGGCTGGGATATTTTTCTCCTTCAACTCCCAATCCTATAAGAGAATCTGGAAAACCATCTTGGATATAATAAAAAGCACACAATGCAGTGCAATTTTAAAAGCCACATATTATCTCTGTTCGCATGCCAATGCCAAGGGTGAAGTTCTTTGAAAATTATTACCCTAATGAAATTAATAAAACTGGTAACTGGTATAGAGTCAACAGGTCTCCAGATTGTATATTTTATTCATCAGTCCTTGCATAAGCATCCCAAGTTGGGTCAGCATATTAAATTATTCAAAGAAGAAACAATCTATTTGGCATATTCTTTATAAAGAATGAAATAACAGGTTACTTTAGTTAAAAATACCTAGGGTGCTGAGTCTTAATAATGCAATTTAAATCATCAGTAAAGCAATAAGATCTGTTCAGTTGAAAACTATAATAATAAATGCTTGCTTTAGTATCACAAGAGACACTTTGAGACTAATGGCTACAGAATAACGACAACAGTAATAAACAGGTCTTTCTTGGAATACTATTTTTAAGGATGTCTCACTCCCCTCAACTGTGAAAGTAGGGAGCCTGGAGAAAGGAGTGAGAAGAGTATTGAAATAAATGGACTAGCTGATAGAGGTGTAATGATAAATTCATAGGGCATGTCCCATTTTTAAGTGGTTAAAAACACTCTTAGTTGCTCTCAGCAACAGAGTAGAGACAGAAATCCAGAGGCTTTTTCCTCTTGTAAAAAAATGTAAAGGTTTCCCCTGACATTAAGTCTATTCATTTCTGACTCTGGGGGGTGGTGGTCATCTCAATTTCTAAGCTGAAAATCCAGCATTGTCCTTAGACACCTCCAAGGTCATGTTGCTGGCATGACTGCATGGAAAGCCATTACCCTCCCTCAGAAGTGGTACCTATTGATCTACTCACTGTAGGTTGGCAGAAGCAGGGCCTAACAGCGGGAGCACACCTGCTCCCCAGATTTGGACTACCAACCTTTTGGTCAGCAAGTTCAACAACTCAGTGGTTTAACCCGCTGCACCACCAGGGGGCCTTTTTTCTCTTGAGTATAGTTAAATTTTTGTGTATGAACACCAGTGAATTAGCTATATAGAAATTATTCCTATTAATTTCAAACAAACACTGTTGATATTATTACAGAACCGGGAACCCTTGATGCCTTCACCACAGTTTATCAAATCCTACTTCAGCTCTTTCACAGATGACATTATTTCCCAACCGCTTCTTAAGGGAGAGAAATCAGACGAGGATAAGGATAAAGAAGGAGAGGCTTCTGTAGTAAAAGAAAAGTAAGTAACTGACGGGATGAAATAGTTAAGCATGTAATATTCATTATACTCTCTTATAAAAGCAAATCTAACCATGTGCATTTGTGCTATTGTGTGTAATATGGTACATGATTGCATTTAAATTGGGGAGTTCTCTTGCTCCTTTCAGAGATAAGAGCTTCAATCCACTGTGAGAGCTCGCCTAATTTTTGTCAGTTGTACTAAAAGTAGCAAACCACCAAATTGACAGTTGGATGGGAATGACATGTCTTCGCTGTAAAGGATAGATGAGAAATAGAAGTTGTGGTGATAAATGGATGAGTGTTTGAAGAGCTGCTCTGTATAAATGTAAGGAAACATAATGTTGTAGGTAAGCAGGAATGTATTACTTTTGGGCTTTTCATTGCAACTTTCCTAGCTGATATGAGAGATGCCAGTGCTGGGGGAAAAAACCCTAGATAACAATATTGTCAGTTGGAAGATAAGAATGGTTTGCATTTCAGTTTTTCAATTGAATTGCATTAGAATGTGTCTATTCTTTTCCTCCTTACTGGAATTTGGGAGGTTTGTGTGACAGAGGATAACAAGATCCCTGACCCTGAATTGATCCCAATATTAATTTGAGCTATTCAAACAATACAACTTGGTGGCTAAGAACATTGGATTTAGTCCAGGGCTTAAACCCATGAACAACAGACTGATTTGCATGCTACTCCGTTACCACATCTGTTATCTTTAAACACGACTTTACTAGAAAATGTTTATGTTCAACCTTTTTTTCAAACCAGGCTTTACAGACATAATTACTGGCATAATTTACTAGTTAGATAAGATGAAAAGCTGAAAAAAAAGGAAAACTGGCTTAAGGAGAATGTGATTCTGTGGCCTTTCCTGATGGTTAGTTTCTCTTTAGTGTTCTGCTGAATCCAGAGATGGATATACCTATCCTTTCTTTAAAAGTGTCTAAAATAAACAACATTTTTGCTATTTTTTAAAAAAAAGTTTCAGAACTTTGGTAGTGGTATCATGTCATGGTGCTGTGCGTCTGAGGTGTAAATGTCTTATAGTAAAAGACTCGTGTAGGATATTCCTCATGTTTTTATCAGTTTCGAATACTTGAAACATTTGAGGAGCTAGGCAAATATTTAGTTAAAGAGCCTTGTTTCTGCTTTATGCCTGAATTTGAAAATCTTTTCCATTAAAGTCAGAATACTTAAAGCTTTTCAGTGAAAACTGTTCAGATCACTTGTGTATAAACTTTCTTTATTCCAAATTGTGGTATGAGAAAAATCTCTTTCCTGCTTGTTTAAAACTTGGGAATTCATCCAACAGCCTTACCTTGTTCCCTCCTGTCATTTCCTCATCTTCTGCCCATCTTTCCCCATTTAAAGCCATTTGGAGTCTAGTAAAGCCTGACTCCTGAAGACAGGCTTTTGGTTCTGTTTCCATGCACTGCCCTATGTTATGTGGTGGACTCCCATGGGGCTTCATTTCCACAGCATATGGAAACAGAGCCAAAAGTCTGTTTGATGGGGTCCTTCATTCCATTTCAACTGTGGCTTTTAAATTGTAAGGAATTCTCTGCCCTGATAAAGACAGCTCACTCATGAAGAGTACCTAAGTCTAATTAAAATGCTAGAGGAGGAGAACATTGTGCCAACAGAGTTCCATTACTTTTCCAACAAGAGTGAACAATATTGTGTTTAGGTATTAGTACCGCTGATGTAGGTGGTTGGATAGTGAGTTGTGCAGCCACTTCTGCAAGCACATAGGTACAGTAGAGTCTTGCTTATCCAACATAAATGGGCTGGCAGAATTTTGGATAAGCAAAAATGTTGGATAATAAGGAGGGATTAAGGAAAAGCCTATTAAACGCCAAATTATATTATGGTTTTACAAATTAAGTACCAAAACATCATGTTCTACAACAAATTGGCAGAAAAAGCAGTTCAGTACACAGTAATGTTATATAGTAATTATTGTATTTACGAATTTAGCTCCAAAACATTGCAATGTATTGAAACAGTTGTGAATCCAGGTGGGAGGCAAACTGCGTTGGATAATACAGAATGTTGGATGAGCGCAGGTTGGATACTTTGTATATAACAAAGTTGTACCTAGAAGAAGGTTTAGAGATGCGTGAATGAATCCTCTCAAGCTTCAAATGCATATACTTGAAGATTCATCTAAATATTTCATTGTCTTTTGGAAATTTGTTTATGGGGGCAGTGTATACATTTGTATAATAGAATTAGTAACATTAAAGTTTATGGGTTTTTTTTAAAAAAATCTCAAAATGTTTGAAAGGAATTTAAAGTGATAACACTTTCTGTTATATGTGTCCAAATGGTTGTAGTAGAGGAGACTTTATATATTATCCAATCAGATTTTGGTTCAGCTTTCCCCCTGTGATATGTGTGTCATATTCCCTATTTACTATATGTTAATTTTTGAAAGAGTGTCTGATACTAAAGTACCTTGGAAATGTGATATAAAAGATGTTCAAACAAAGGAGACTAGTCATTAACTTTCTGATGGACTTGGAATCAGCTGGTAGTTATTTCAATGATTGAGGGAACATGCAAAAGTAGAAAAGAGAGAGTTTAAGGTTCAGTTTCAAATACTAATGTAGTCTCTTTAACCCTGAAACCAGAGGCAGCACTGGAGATAGAGAGAGAGGGAGAGAGAAGGTGTACAATGGCAATATAAGAACTCGTTCAGACATTACTTTTAAATATATGTATTTTGAAAGCAATATTAATGGTTTCTTTCTGTAGTGTTTGACTTGTTGGACATGCCTCAAGCATTGTGACAGAAATCATTTGAACAAATTGTAGATTTATCATTAGTGCTCAGTTTGACTTGAGACTGTAAATAAGGAGGTGGGAGAACTGTCTTGCTTTGTTCCCTGCTGTCTTTACACCACACATTACAAATTGAAATGTATGGTGTATTTTGTACATGGACATATTTGCAGAGTTAGTTCTGTTTGACTTAGCCAGCCTTAGTTGGGAGGCAAATACAGTTTTTAAGTTGGAATTGTGAAAATACCAATCGCAAGACCAGCACCATCATTAAGAAGTTAGAGTACATAGCCAATTTTCTGTTTTCTTCAAGCACATTTTTTCTTAGATTTCTTGTTTCGTTTTGGTACATGAGGTGTGTTCCTGGAAATACTACTTCTTTTTGAGTAGTGTTAAAATTAAGTGCTGGACTAGTGAGTGATGTGATCATTTGGACGAATTTGAGCTATGCATTAACTCACAAACATGGTGTCATTAAGAATGATTTGTATTAGGAATAGGGAAATTTCTTTTTCTGCATATTTGTAACTGTTATGCCTGTTATTTTTTTAGCTGTGGTTATTTAAAAGCAAAGAAATATATGGATGAAGAAAATTATGACAAAATAATTAGTGAGTGCACTAAAGAAATTGAAGCAAAAGGAAAATATATGGCAGAAGCCTTGCTGTTACGAGCCACATTCTATCTACTCATTGGAAATGCAAATGCTGCCAAACCTGATCTGAACCAGGTTATTGGTATGGAAGATGCCAATGTAAAGGTGGGTGAATGATGCTTATCAAAACACTTGCACTGTAGATGCAGTAGCATTCCCTTCATTGCTCCAAGTAATTATCTTTTTGAAGGAGAGACATATTTAATAGCTAAACTATGTGGACTCTTAATGATGAACCAGTGGATATTCCTGTGATATCTCCTGAGAATGTTTTGTGTAGCCTTTCTCAGAGAAGTAGAAATTTTGACCACTATGTGCTGACAGGCATTGTTGGGATTTTAAATCCTGTACTCCTATAGTACATATTTGCTGTGCTATTTTTAAATTTTCTCTTGAACAAAGAGAAGGTAGCAACTTAGAGCATAAATGACAAATCCAAATTTATTGTCGAAGGCTTTCATGGCCGGGATCACTGGGTTGTTGTAGGTTTTTCCGGGCTATATGGCCATGTTCTGGGGGCAATTTTTCTCCTGACGTTTCGCCTGCATCTATGGCAAGCATCCTCAGAGGTAGTGAGGTCTGTTGGAAACCCATTTTTCCTACTTCCAACAGACCTCACTACCTCTGAGGATGCTTGCCATAGATGCAGGCGAAACGTCAGGAGAAAAATTGCCTCCAGAACATGGCCATATAGCCCGGAAAAATCTACAACAACCCACAAATCCAAATTTGTTGAACTTCAACATTGTTCTCCTGCAAGTGTAGTTGGGGATGATAGGAGCACCACTTCATGGAAGGCTGAATCAGAGCCTCCTTAAGTAAGGAATATATTATGTGAGAAAAACAGCCGTGCTGAATGCACTTTTAACATGATATCATTAATTATGTTGTTCCCTTTCAGTGGTTGGGAGGCCGCTGAGTCTTAATGGGTGCCCTAATTTGAGTTGGAGTTTCTTGTGTAATATTCTGGATTCACAAATATGTCTGCCTTCCTACAGCATTAGCCTGTAACACCGAGCTTTTTGACTCCTTTTCAGGTCCACTAGGAGATATTCTGCCTTAGTTTTAGCTGGCTCTTCTGTGGGATATATTCTTTCTGGTATAGGTTTTGGATTCTCTGCAAATTCTAGGATGTCTCAGGGTATATAAATACCACATCCACATTAATGTTAATGGGTTATGAGCAGTTTTAATGATAGTTATCTCAAGCAACATTTTTCCAGTGCAAAGTAGAAACGGATAAAAATGAAATTGTCAGAATGAAAAAGTCTATCTAACAAGGATGTCTTATATCAAATTATAATTTTGATTATTCCTTACAATAGCTGCGTGCTAATGCCCTAATCAAGCGAGGAAGTATGTATATGCAACAACAGCAGCCTATGCTCTCTACTCAAGATTTTAATATGGCTGCTGATATTGATCCTCAGAATGCAGATGTTTACCATCACAGAGGGCAGGTAAGACTGTCCATTTTTATCGTTTCATTCAAAAATTGTTAATGAGAATAAGAATAACAGAAAATGGCAGTGTTTAGCCACTTAATAGTCTGGTTCCAGATTATAATTATTTACCCCTTGGAAATTCCAGTTTATTTCAGTGAGTAAAAACACTCAATGACAACAGGAGAGTGCTTGCGTCTTTATATAGAGACAGGTATGCACACATTCAGAACCAGGATCCACATGGTCTCATAAGGTGGAATGTTTGTTCTAAGTAGCTGGCAGGCATCCCTTTTTGCAAAACCCTCCCTATATTATCTGTTCCGAAAATGCTACTATTGCTATTTCTAATTGAAAATAATATTTGTTCTGGTCCCAAAAATTAGCAGACAAACCCTTACACTCAGAAGTGTTTTGACTTATTTGCAGGAAGAGGGTAATTTTCTATCCTAGTAATAAAATAATGAGAGAAGATCTATTATTTGTGTCAGCCATTCTGTATGCGACCAGAGCACATTGCTTGAATGCTGCATTAGTCTTTGCAAGGAAATTTTCCTCATGTTGTACGGTGTGCTGGTTTTATTATCTACTGTTCTGTGAAAGTGGTGTTCACTGGTTAGCAGATTTTCCAGCAGTTCTAAGTTTTTATTTCCTCCATGTGGAAATAAGATTAGCTAGTATTGCTATCACATTGTAATCATGATGGGCTTTCCATGGTATACAAGCTCCCTGGCCAGGTAAACGCCTTCCTTCAGAAGATATGATGTCTTAGCATTGCAGCAACAGCAGACATGTTTTCTTAGTTTCTCTAAAGAATGTTCATGGGATATGCATTTGGCTCTGAACCCAATCACCTATTGGTGATCCAACTGTCCATAAATGCTCTGCTCTGTGTGGTGTGTTTTAAACAGTCCAAGAAACATAAACTGTGTGTCATGAAATCCATAGTGGTTTTATACATTACTCTTGTTTCCCCGATGTGGAACTGCAAATACATTTAATACACAACAGCTGTTCAGGCTCATCATAGCTCTGAAATGGCTGAAGAATGTATGGTTTGTCTAAGATTTCATGTTCTTGACACACCCACATCAGGAGCTATAGATTTAGCTCTGTGATGGTTTTGGTAGGGTTCGCCCTTTTCTGTGCCTGGAATATACAATCTGTGCCTTCCTATTTGTTTAATTGATTATGTAGGAAATAGTGTCTAATTATAGAAAAGACTTCAGCATTTTCCACTTCTCTTTGCATCCTCTTTTAGTCCTGGGAATTCCCAAGTGATATATCGAACTTCCTTCTATTGTCTGTCGATGTTGCATCAGGTGTTGTGTTCCTGCCTTCAAGCATAGTAGTATCTCTATTTGGCCCTTTCTTGGACAAAATCAAGAGATAGTATATTACTGCCCTCCAACCTTTGAAGAAGAAAAAAAGTTGTTTTTCATCCAACTGCTATAACACCACTTTCTCTGCATTAATTTCAACCACAAAATGGTGTGGTGCATTTTATATCCCAAGACATTGAATTATGTGAGAGATAAACAGTAGTAAAACTGGCAAAATACAGTAGATTTGTTGGGATTGTTTTCTTGTCCTATCTGGCTTTTTTTATCTAGACGAGGTCTGAAAGTTCAGATTTTTTTTTGAGGCAAAAATGTAAAATGCCCGTCTCATAAGTCTAGTTCTGCGTGGATTCTGTGAACCATCTTGGAGATTAAGATCATCTGGGAAGGCTTTCTCGGTCCTGCCTCCTTCGCAGGCACAAGTGGTGGTAACGAGAAACAAGGCCTTCACAGTGGTGGCCCCTCTGCTGTGGAACCCCCTCTCCAGTGACATTAGATCAGCCCTTCCCTCCTGGCCTTCAGAAGGAAAGTGAAAACGTGGCTTTGGGATCAAGCCTTTGGAAAATAACTAGTGCAATAACAGATATGGAATATGTGCAACGAATTCTGGAATGGACCCAGATTACGATTATGGATGGCATAATTTTAATAGTGAATGTAATGTTTAAATGTTTTAATATGTATTAATTTTAAATTTAAATATTTATTTTAATTGAATGTTTTAAGGCATTGAATAGTTACTTATATGTAAGCTGCCTTGACTCCCCTTCGGGGTTGAGAAATGCGGGGTATAAATAGGGTAAATAAATAAATAAATACATTCTGCAACAAAACATGACTAGAGTTCTAGAATATCTTTTTTTTAATGGGATGAAAACTAAATTATCTCTTAGCACTCAGAATCTGGATGGAAGTGTACAATATTTCTGTTAAATGGGGGAAGAAAACTAAGCTATCTAAACAAAATTGAAGTCAGTTGCGCAGAAATGATCCTCGTGAAATGCCTGTTTTATAACTGGAGAAGATTGTTTTCTTTGGTAACTGTTTTGTGGCAGTGATTTTCTTTCTGTTGCTACTGAATTCACGGCTATGTTCAACCTTCTTTATTTGTTTTTAGCTAAAAATTCTGCTTGATCAAGTTGAAGAAGCTGTAGAAGACTTTGATGAATGTATTCGTTTGCGACCAGATTCTGCCTTGGCCCAAGCACAAAAATGTTTTGCATTGGTAAGTATAATTGTGGACCATTTTATTGTAACATAAGATGCCAAGTATTTGTTCAAAATGCTGGCTCACTTTTAGTAAGTATACGGAAATGTATGAGTACATTGGCTAGTATGTGGTAGTTAGATGGTAATAAAATAGATTTTAGTTCTGGTTTTGGTTTTTTACATGTTAATTTTGATTTGCAGTACCGACAAGCCTACACTGGAAGTAATTCTTTACAAGTACAAGCAGCAATGAAAGGCTTTGAGGATGTTATTAAAAAATTTCCAAGGTGTGCTGAAGGCTATGCACTGTATGCCCAGGTATGTTGTTTGTATTAGGCAGTGGACATTCTACATTATAATTCACAAACTAAATATTAATTTTCTACTGATAAATATTACTATTTTATATTTAATATGATTACAAATTGTCTAAGAAATTGGACTATTTTTTATACGAAGTTCTTTGCACCTAAATGTATTTCTTTATTCAATTAATGCAGGCTTTAACAGATCAACAGCAGTTTGGCAAAGCTGATGAAATGTATGATAAATGTATTGATCTTGAGCCAGATAATGCTACTACATATGTTCATAAAGGGTAAGTACTGTTAAAATAACTACAGAACTGCTTGTATGATTTATGCATGTATCAAGAGTGTTAGCTCTGTTTCGACTCAAAAGTAACCTCTCTTTCAAAAGGATTTGGTAAGAAAAAGCACTACGATGTGGAAATATTTCCCCTGCTTCCTTTTGCCATAGTGGACAACATTTCTAATAATGCATTATTACATAAATTTAATTAGAATAAGTTTACCAGAGTAAAAGTGAATTTGGATAGGGTACAATAACAGAGAAATCTCAAACCAAAAGTTTAATTAAAATCATGCAGTTCACTTTTTTAAAGGAATTCAAGAGGCATAAGGCCTCCTGGACTGCACTTTTTGCACCCAGGATGCAGACAAAAAAGTTAAGCCATACCCTCAGGCCATGAAGTGACTTAGTAAAAAAATTGAAATTACCCCTTTTCTCTGAATTTATCTCTATAAAGAATGAGGCCCCAGCCTCTTTTTCAGGAAGAGTGCTGTGAGTTTCAAGGAAACAGACTTGAGTGTAACTATAAGTGCAAATACGAATCAATAAACTAATAAGCAACAATTAATAAAAAGCCAATAACAAATAAATACTAAATTACCTATTTTTCTTTATGTTTCAATGTAGGCATACTATATACTTACACCAATAACACCGAAATTGTGTTTTAGGTAATTCTTAAAAGGAATATATGACATCTAGATTTCAGATGTTGTTTTTGCCTACTTCTCAATCGGGTGGGTAACTGTGGAAGGGTAGGGGATCACATTAGCTCCCAAGAAGAGCTGGGGGAGAGTCATTATCTGACATACCTCAATCCATTTTAGATCACTTTTTGTTCATTTCCATTTATGGCTTTGGATGATTTTTAAAATAAATGTCGAAGCCCCATCCCCAGGTTCTGAAGGGGACAAAAATGACTGCTGGGGGGGGGGGGGGGGGGGGGGGGTTGCTTGTGCCCATGGAGCATGCTTTGTTTACTTCTGCCATATGCTTCCTTTTCTTAAAAAAAAAAAGCCAATATGCCAAGGTTGACTGCTTTTTTATGTGCTGGCAGGTTATAACCTATGTAATCATGTTTGATCTATAATTTTATTTCAGTTTACTTCAACTTCAATGGAAGCAGGATTTAGATAAAGGTTTGGAACTTATAAGCAAAGCCATTGAAATTGATAACAAATGTGACTTTGCATATGAAACCATGGGGACAATCGAAGTGCAAAGGTAAGTTCCAGACATTTGGTGTATTTCAAAGTTCTTCTGACATTACTGCAGCTTGACACCACTTCAACTGTCATAGCTTGAATGCTATATAATCATAGCAGTTGTAGTTTTACATGGTTTTTAGCCTTCACTGCCAAAGAGTGCTGGGCCTCACCAGACTACAACAGCCAGAATTCCATCACATTGAGCTATGGCAGTTAAAGTGGTGTCAAACTGCATCAGTTGTTCAGTGTGACTGCACCCCCAGCCATGACAGGGAGAAAGAGTGAAACATAGAGGTTATGGCTAGAAAAACAGCATGAACAACTGTATTGATTCTACAGTGATGATGTATTGCACGAACAGGGTGGCATTAGCTTCAGGAGTCCCTTTGCACATTTAAAACATGTCTCAACTGCTACAGTTTCTTGAGACGTTGGACCTGGCCATGTATCAGTTACATCCTGTTTGGATTGCTGTAGCACACTCTATGATATAAATAAAGTTATTATTATTAGATACACAACAAGATTAGTACATAGCTAACTAGTTCACTGGTTGTACTGATCCATTTAGTTTTCTTGGCAAGGATACTGGGATGGATGGCATCCTTGAAGTGACTGGACTGACCTTGAAGGAACTGGGGGTGGTGACGGCCAACAGGGAGCTCTGGCGTGGGCTGGTCCATGAGGTCACGAAGAGTCGGAGACGACTGAACGAATGAACAACAACTAGTTCACTATGCTGACTTTTGTATTTGATCACATGTCAGACACTTCCCAAGTTTCTAGGGTTGTATGATGTATTGGCTAATAATAATAATAATAATAATAATAATAATAATAATAATAATAATAATAATGTTGTTTTACTGACATAAAAACACAATATGTCACAGCAAATGATATATATATATATATATATATATATAGAGAGAGAGAGAGAGAGAGAGGATTTTGTCTTGTTTGCTGTGGCATACAGTTGTTGTTGTTGTTGTTGTTGTTGATATTATTATTATTATGTGGGGCAGCTTCTGAAGAGTATTCTGAAACTTGATCCAAACAGCCGCAGCCAGGTTGCTAACTGGTGCTGGCTACAGGGAGTGCATAACTCCTCAGTTACATCATCCCCATTGGGCCCAGACTTATTTAGCAGATCATGTCTCCTGGTATGAACGTGCCCAGCCCTTAGATCCTCAGGAGATGCCTTTCTCTCAGTCCCATCACCATCGCAAGCACAATTGGTGGGAAGGTACGAGAGGGCCTTCTTGGTGACTGCCCCGTAAATCTGGAACTCCCTTCTTCCCAGGAAAGCCAGAATGGCCCCCTCCTTTTTATTCTTCAGTGGCAAGCAGAAACCTTTCTTTTCAGGCAGGTTTTTAAAGAAAGAGGTTTCAAGACCAAATCAAGGGTGCTATGTTTTATAGGAACAGTTTTTTAAATGGATTTAATGATTTTATTGGTTTAGTTATGTATTTTAATAGGTCCCATAATTAATTCTATTTGTCACTATCTTTCTTGGACTATGGTCACCAGAATACAATATTCCTGTTAAAGTCCAAGGCAGACTAAAGTTACACCATGCTTCCTTCAGTCTGGACACTATGCTCCTTTCGATGCAGAACAAGAGAGTGAGACTTAATAGGAAACGTTTGTATGCATTGTTCAGTGTCATTAAACATATCACTTTTCTGAAAACATATAAGGATAGCTGTGTGGACCACAAAACAAAAACTAAGGTGCACAGTGTTGATGTTACGGTTCCATGATTAGACTCCCCCGATGGTGCAAAATGCCCACTGAATATCAGAAAACTGTTTCTACTTTTTAAATGTGTAGAAATGCACTTAATTATGCTGCCATATTGCTTACTTTATTTTAATGTGGCCCCTTTCTTTTACTTTAGAGGCAATCTGGATAAAGCCATTGAAATGTTCAACAAAGCGATTAACCTAGCCAAATCTGAGACGGAAATGGCTCACCTCTACTCACTCTGTGATGCTGCCTATGCCCAGACAGAAGTAGCAAAGAAATATGGATTGAAACCACCAACATTATAGAAAAACAGTAGGATGGAAATGACCTTTTAAAAAGTAAAGCTGTCCATTTCTACCTAGTCCTAAAGACACTGTTGCAGTGTGTTGAATGGTGGAAATTTGTTTTCTTTCCCCTCAGTTCATGGTGATGTAATTATCTGTTAAATGTTTAGTTGTTGTGGGAGTGATTGTTAAAGAAAGTAAGCAGTTTGTTTCCCTTGCAGCAGATAATTGTTAAAGGGAGATAAAAACAGTTGCAAGGGGATCAAATATGATTTTGGCCATGCAAATAAATACCTTTTTGACTCATTCTTTCACTGTACTTGTGAATGACTTATTCTATTTGCAGAGCTTGCAATTCTTATAATTTTAAATTAATAGTGCTGTTAAATTTTTATATGGAATCAATAAATCTCTTGGTTTTGATTTTAGTCCTGCGAAATGAAAATGTAAATTGCAAAATTGGTTAGTGCTAAGGGTTTTTAAGGCAATAGTGGTTGATGATATGGCTTGGATATGGCCTATATGCCAAAACACAACTTCCCCCTTCCCTTGATTTGACTGTCATTATAGAACACTTGTTTCAGGAGAGTAAAATTGTTGTTGCTTGGGTCCCACCAGAGACCTTGAATGGCTCAGGTTGTTATGCACCTCAGAATTGCTGTTCTACGTTAAGTCTTTGGGGTGGGATTTAGTTCACAGGGTCCAGCTTGTTTAGAAACCATGCTCTTTAAAAAGTGTATTTTTATTGATGCTGCACAAAATCTCAATTTACAACAGTTTCTCTATAGCTGTTTTTTTAAAAGATCTTCCTATGCATTAGAGATGCTACTCTTAACCAGATATTGAGCTCTTCATAGAAGCTACTGAAGCCAATAAAGAACTTTTGAAGTTTCATGTGCTAGGAAATTTGTTGCAGAATCTGTGTAATTTAATTTGGATTTGCTTCTTATTCCCAGTTCACATATGAAAAATGTATTATTTTGCTGAAGATAGTTGTCTTTTTTTCTAATACAAATACTGTACACTAACTTGGAGCGAGTCAAACATCTAAATGTTTAATTTATGCTCAGTGTGTAGTCAGTTGCTGCTTTTTAAAAAAGAACTGCGGTGATAAATGTTTTCTTTTGGGGATTCAGATTTTCTGTTCTGTTATCCCCTTTGGATTTTGTCTCCTCCCTCAACTGTCATCATGTATTCAAATGGGTTTTTATTTGCATGGCTCTGACACATCTCCTGAAAGCAGTTAAGAATTAAGCATGTGCTGTCTAATAACTAGCATTCCAGATCATCACAGACTGTTGCCTGTTGTTCCAATTTTTGATCTGCACTGAAAGAATGCATATGTTTGTTATTTTTTGTAAATGACTTACACATGTAAAGTCACCAAATAAATATTACATTCAAATCTCTCTTATACATACATGAGTGTGGGTACTGGTTGAAATTGTTCATGTGGCAAATAAACATGTGGGGTGCCCTGGTATCATATAAATGAACCTGTAGCTGCTTGACTTTTCTTTTCCTGTGTTGTCAAAGGCTTTCATGGCCAGAATCACTGGGTTGCTGCAAGTTTTCCAGCCTGTACAGTCATATTCCAGAAGCATTCAGAGGATGACTGCCATAGATGTGGGCAAAATGTCAGGAGAGAATGCTTCTGGAACATGGCCATACAGCCCGGAAAACTCACAGCAACCCATTTTCCTTTCCTGTTTCCTTTACCCGTAATTGGTAGGGGAAAACATATTTCTCCACTTGAGATCAGTGGCTGGAGTGAGATTTAGGCATACTTTAAAAGCTGTGAGCCTTGCGCTTTTCATAGGTTGCTAAATTCACTATATATTTCATAAGTATACTTCCAAATCAATGTTTTCTTCGTGTCAATAATAGTAAAAAAGGGCACTTGTCTTTTAGAGCTATAATTCTCAAGGTGATGTATGCCATGTTTCTAAAACATGGTTGCATAATAAGGAACATGCAGGAGTGTTTAAATGGAGCTGGGGTGTTTTTTTTTGGGGGGGGGGGTACCAAATTTTAAATTTTATCTATTGGTTATGATCTCTGTATTTCCTGGACCAGTGCCCATGGTTTCATTTATCAATTTCTACACAATATGTCCCCTCTAATCATTTTTTAGGTCCTCCAGCATTACTCTGTGGCATTCTTTGGCCGGAAGTTCATTTCAAGAGGATTTGGTTTTATCCGTGTGTTTTCATATATCCACATGAAGCCTGGGAATGTATCCCCTGTGGGTATAAGGTTTGTGTTATATTTAAAGCTTGCTGCAATCCTTAGTCACCGAGCAGATAGTCAGTATATAGATTGGGAGTCAATATAAATGGAAACCAAAGAATAAGAATCCTCTTATTGTGCAGGAAACTACTTTCAAGAAAATGGGATAGACATCATACTCAAGAGTGCTGCAATGTTGGGCATCCCATGTAGTATCAGGCCCTTTTTCTACTTAAAAATGTGAAAGCACATTTCTGGTACTTGGTAGTAGACTTGTCTGCAGTCACACTAACAGTACAAGCTACTTGCCCCACAAATTCTAATTTTTCCTGATAGAGGGGTTGCTCAAGCTGCTTGTTCATGAAAGCTATAATTTTCTGCAACTCTTGCTCATCTTGCTCTGCATCTGTAGAGTTCAGTAATGACAGGATAATACAATTTTATTTTTAGTTCAGATGGAGTGAGTGTGAGGGACAGATGATAGCCTTATTAAAACTAAAACTAAAATAAAAACTAATCTTCTGGCCTGAAGTGATTGTATCTGTGTATGTATGGTGGGCAGCTTAAAACTCGACCACATGGCAAATTAAGGCATCAGAAACTGAATATCAGAATTGTTTTTATTACTAATAAATTTTATTCCACTGTTGATGTTTTTTTGCTTCTTTTTAATGTGTGCAGCATACTGGCTAATTAGCCAGAGACAAGGGCAGGATAATGTATTCCTTGTGATAGGCAGTGGTTATCTCTTGATACCTTTCCTGGGCTTATGGTTCTCTTTTCATCAGATTTTTCAATGTAAATCTTGTTGTAGAGCACATATATAAGGTGATGGCATAGTGGTGACTTTTAGCTTATTGACCTTTAAACTTCTGGTCCTCCAGATATTTTGGATTTTGACTTCCAGAAGCCTCAATTAAGACTTTTGGATGGGAGGTCTATAATAAATCAAGGATGCAAGTTCAAGAACCACTGCTTTAGATTAATGGTTTTCCAACTTTGGCTCTTCAAATGCTTGGGACTTTATTCCCTCAGAATTTCTGACCACTGCCCATATTGACTAGGATTTCTGCAGGCTAAAGCCCAAGATATCTAAAGGACTAAAAACTGAGAAACACTGTATTAGACTACTTTTCAAGAAACCAAGGAAAGACTGGGACTTGCAAGAAGGATGATGGAGAAGTGTGAATCTTGCATAATGCCAACAGAACCAGAAAAGGCTCTTGCCTTTTCAAAATGTATTGGCCAGAATAGTTTACTACTGGTATTTCATTTTTTTTTCACATATGCTTGATGGACAAGGCACTGCTGGTGGCTTATGAACTATGAAATGGTTGAAGTATACAAGTACCTATACAAAGAACACAGATATGCCTCTTGGCTTCAACTTGCTACCTCTAGATATTTTATGGATTTAATCCAATCATCTATAAAACTTGGTTTAGTTTTTTTATGTGAAACGTACATATTCTTTTACTTGATTTGAATAGAGATGGATACAGAAAGTGCAGCGATCAGAATCACTATAAAGCATTATGCAGTTTTTGCTTCTACAGCGTAAAGGTCAGAACGTTTCTGGGAATGAATAGGAATCTGCTGACGAATCTCCACAAGCTTCTTGAGGTCTGAGAAAAAGAAAAACCATCATTGACAAATAAGCATATAAAATTATTACATTTAATTATACATGGTAATACAAGAGAAATTAGCCTTAATCTGGCAGATCCAACTGTAAAATAGAAATGGTAACATGTTTGGCAACCTATGTAATTCTGTTAAGTCTGCCTTGCATATATTGCTGTCATAATTCTGTGAGACTGACTGTTTATTCATAGTTAATAGAAATGGAAATTAAACAAAGTGTTATCACTCTTGACAAGGAGTGATAACACTAATGTTAGCAAGGAATCCATGTCAGAAAAGGAGATTCAGATGATGGAAATACCAAGTATGTTTTTGTTGACTTACCTATATCTGCATACACAACTGTTTCTTCAGTGCCTGCTTTAGCTATGACCTCCCCCCTGCAAAAGGAAAATATTATATGTGTATTTAGTTAGATCTTGATCTGCTGTTCTGTGAATAGAAGAACATCTATAAAACTGATGTAGCAAAACAGGAAACCTCTACCAATTTCTTCACTTTTATTTCTAAGTCTCAAAGAGGAAATTGAAACAAATCACACACACACACTTTCCTTCCAGTAGAACATTAAGCTAACAGACACATTTGTCTTGAGTATAGATATGACAGAGGCAATCTGAACACTGAAAAGAAGGTCAGTAGGACTGATCTAGTTTCCAAGACTTGGGCAAGTTTCCCTATTTTTTTTACAAGTGCATTCATATTAAAAGGAAGGACAGTCCTCTGAATAAAATATTTACATGTTTGTGCTTATTTGTTTTATACCCTGCCCTTTCCTATAAAGCTGAGTTCAGCTACCAATTGTACAAAAATTGTTAAAATTGCAAGCTCTATCTAATGTAAAATGATCAGTATCCTTTTACACCTGTCTAAGATAAGCCCGTCACTCCTCTCAGTGATAGTAATACACTAGCATCCAATCCTCAACATGGAAACAGCCTTGAATGTCTAAAGATAATGTCTTATTGGTATGCCATGAAAATAAGTTCTCCACAAACTTTTCTATGCCACAGTTCTAGTTCACACTTATGAGAAGAGTTACAGTAGATCAGGCCTATTATAGTCCAGCATTCTGCTCATTCGGTGACTAACTAGATTCCTAGGGAGAGCTCATGAATGAGCAAGGCAGTTTGTTTTATACAGCAACTAGACGCATACTGTTACTGGAAGGAATATACAGCCAACACGCTATCACTTATCATCCATGAATTGGCTTAATCTTCCTTTGAAGCCCTACAAATTGGTAGCCACTGCTACATGCTATGCAGGCAAGTTCCAAATCTTAATTCTACCAAATACGAAGAAATATTTCCTTCTGTCCATTCTAAATCCCTGCTTGATGACTGAGTTCCAAGTATCTGTCACCTCAGCTTGGTCCTCTTTACAGCCAATCATTTTAAGCAAAAATGCAATACAACAAGCGTATCAATTCTAAATTTACAAAGCACATTGCTGACCTTAGCTTTTCAGCTAAAGTACAACATGAACAAAATCAGTAATCTGAAAGAAGGACAATTGTTGCCTGAAGGGACTTCAAGAATCAGATATATCTGTTTTGCAAATATCATTTTAGTGCAAATGACAGCTCAACCACAATGCACCGCACTCAAGAATAAAACTTTTAACTATACGTGTGATCGGATGTCACTAAATTGCAGTATGTTTTTGGTCTCTGTATTTTATTGTTCAGTTATCAAACCCTTAAAAGCACAAATGTAAGGACACTAAAGCAATGTTTTCAAGTCATTCAGGTCTGGATTTCATCAGCATTTTGGATCTGCATTTCTAAATTCTTAAATTTTTCTTTTTTTCTTTAGAGTCATGCCATCACCCAGTATAACAAACACTATTACAAGTTCATAATACAAAATTGAGTCTCTCCAGGATGTACTAGTCCTATTGCCCCTGAAATTAAGCCAACAAAAATTTTGGCACAACTGGCAAAACAATCAGCTGAACAAAAACGTGAAATGGAGGCTACTGTGTGTGCACATTAATTGGCATAGTTCTTTCCAAGTATCTGGTGACTGAAATAGAAATAAAACATATTTAAATGTACTGCCAACTTTTTAATTTAAAAGCCATAAAACACGATCTTCAAAAGGAAGTGTGATCTTTAATACCATCCATGCATCATCCAAACAGAAGGACATCCTTGGTGGCTGCTTAGCAACTTTGGAATATTTCTGGCAACTACACAACTTCTGTTCTGTGGGTACATGCCAGACAAGACTAATTTTTTGTTAACCTTTTGGCTTCCCCCCCTTTCAAAAAACCACACTGCCATTGTCAGTCTCATCATCTGTTGTCCTTATTTTCTGAAGTCCCTCGATTTAATTATACTTTTAACTAATTGAATGTGCAGGAGTGAAGAGACATCATATCCAGCTGGCAAGACAAGAAACCAAAACAAGGAGTCTATAGGCAAAATCGGAAAAAAAAATTGGACTCCTGCCTCATCAATGGTGCATGGGATATGACCTGTTAATGCATAAATTACTCTTCCAGCCATCCAAGAATAAATATCCACGTTAAGCACAATCCCTCTTTGAAGGGAAGAGATGGCCAAGTCTGGTTGATACTATCCAATCACAGCTCTGAGAATGAGGGCCTACTAGAGAAAGGATAAGCTGAGGCTCATCCCTGACGGAAGGTATACAGGGAAAAATGGCACAGAGATGGGGAAAATATGGCATAGAAATGGAAAAGCCGTAGCAGACACAGGACATTCAGCTGGTGGAAGGACTAAATAGGATTTTGTGGAATTGTGAATAATTAAATAGTTCAGGAGTTAATATGTGATCTAATTGTATATTAATGAATAATTTGTTCTTTCATAACTGGCGGTTCCTGTTGTTCTGATAGGGAGTCACACTTGCCATAGCCCATCCATTGAACAAAACATCCACTAGTGCAATGGTTCCAAACCTTTTTTGACCAAGGACCACTCTCCAACATTAGTACCAAAACAGTTACAAACTAGTTTTTGGTCAACTTTAGATTCCATTTGGTTATTTGAAGTGCTGATTCAAAAAAACTGCATTGGATTGACCACATCAGCACTAGTTTTTGATACAGAATATATGCTATTCAGTACTCGCCATCTGCTCACCAAAGGAAAACCATATTTAATGATCTAGAGCTGATGTGGCAATAGTAGTTTTGTGGGTAGTCAGCCTCTTTCCTCCCAACATCCCTGATGCCTCAGCACTATGAAGGATTTCTTGAGATCATCACTCTCATTGCTGCGTGGTTTCAAGGCAACAGTGTAATAATGGTGAGGCCATGGACCAGATTTTCATTCTTACAGACCATTGGTAGTCCGGACCACAGGTTGGGAATCACTGTACTAGTGTGTAGAGATACCTTCATGCCCAAACGCACGATCCAGGAAATGATCTTTAGGCACAATGGGGCAAAGCGAGTGGCAGCAGCCCAAACATTTGGAACTATGAAGCCAGGCTGGAGGGGGGACCTGTCTCACCCTTAATTTCAAGAATAAAGTATTTTAAATTGGGTTGTTGTAGGTTTTTCCGGGCTATATGGCCATGTTTTAGAGGCATTTTTTTCCTGACGTTTCGCCTGCATCTATGGCAAGCATCCTCAGAGGTAGTGAGGTCTGTTAGAAGTAGGAAAATGGGTTTATATATCTGTGGAATGACCAGGGTGGGACAAAGGACTTTTGTCTGCTGGAGCTAGGTGTGAATGTTTCAACTGACCACCTTGATTAGCATTTAATGGCTTGGAAGTGCCTGGGGGAATCTTTTGTTGAGGTGATTTGATGTGCCTGATTGTTTACTCTCTGTTGTTTTGCTGTTGTAATTTTTGAGTTTTTTAATACTGGTAGCCAGATTTTGTTCATTTTCATGGTCTCTTCCTTTCTGTTGAAATTGTCCACATGCTTGTGGATTTCAGTGGCTTTTCTGTGTAGTTTGACATGGTGGTTGTGAGAGTAGTCCAGCATTTCTGTGTTCTCAAATAATATGCTGTGTCCAGGTTAGTTCATCAGGTGCTCTGCTATGGCTGACTTCTCTGGTAGTGCCTTTCATGTTCCTTGATTCATGTTTGTGCGCTGCGTTTGATGGTCCCTATGTAGACTTGTCCACAGCTGCATCGTATATGGTAGACTCCTGCAGAGGTGAGAGGATCCCTCTTGTCCTTTGCTGAACTTAGCATTTGTTGGGTTTTCTTGGTGGGTCTTTTAGATTGTGATAAATTATTTGAATATTTGAGTTTTATCTAGTTCTCCTACATTATAGAAAGAGACTTTTTCCTACTTACCAAGGATTTACTACAGTGCTGTGTCCCCAGGCTACATAGGATGCCTTTTCATCCCTAGCAGGAGATGCAGTGGCCACATATACTTGGTTATCGACGGCTCTAAACAAAAAGGAAGAATTATTGCAACACAAAGTCCTGGGCAAGAAGTAAATATAGGCCAGACTAAGAAAGGAGGAGGAGGAGACTGGGATGGAAATAATTGGTTCTTTAAACAAGGAGTTTCATATGGTCATGTAGCCATAAACCAGACCTAAAAATGATTCCCCTCCCTTTGATTTCCTTCCTGTTGCTTTGAAAATTGTACCGATGTGCATTTTTGTCCAGGAAAAGAATCAATATCTTTTATCAGATTCTGAAAAGATAATCATTATCTTAAAAAGAAACAATAATCCAGTTATCTCTGCATGGCACCTCCCATCAGCATTAGCCTGCATAGGCAGTGGTGATGGAAAAAGGGAACTGACATCGACAACATCTTAATGGCCAGACATTTCCCATCCTATTTTATGTGCTATTTTAATGTGCACTTTCCACCTTAAAGTTTGCACATACAGGAACCACAGCCGTAGTTATAGCCTTGGGTAAATATAGCTAATGGATCAGTAACACAGATGGAATTGTGAAGCTTAAATGTGGATTCATTATGCATCAATCGAGCTGATACAGGTTTTATGAAGGAAAAAAGATCAACTCAATAATTATGGCAATTATGAGGAACTCAATGGAAAAATGATGACCTGATGTTTCTGGCTCACAGGCCTGATCTATCCACTGCTGCTACTAGATCACAATTACTTAATATAGCTCTGAATGTTTCTTTTTCATTATGTTACAAAATTTCTAAACTGCTATACAAAAGCAACAGCACCCAAACGGATAAAGACATGCTTTTGGATGTAAGGTAATAGGAAAAGATAAATTTCCTAGTTCTTACCGTCCTCTTTGGAGCAGTTCCCAGTGGGCTGGCCCAGTTGTCAAGTTAAAAGCCCCCGGATACACCAGGAGGTGGCAACCTGATGTAATGATAGAATTGAGTAAACAGAAGGTGTAATGAAAGAATAGGGTTAATATCAGAAGTTTTCTAAGATCTACAGATATACTTGCAGGAACACCTCAGCAAGCTAGAGGCGAACTTCATTTTGTTAGTTTTGGCCCATCTCTCTAATCTTGTTAAGATCGTTTTGAATTCTGCTCCTGTCTTCTTGAGTATTGGTTTTCCCTCCCAATTTGGTATCATCTGCAAACAGTATTACTGATTATGTGAGAGGATGTCATAGGGAGGAAGGAGCAAGCTTGTTTTCTGCTTTTAAACAGGCTGGATGGCCTTCTGTCAGGGGTGCTTTGAATGCAATTTTCCTGCTTCTTGGCAGGGGGTTGGACTGGATGGCCCATGAGGTCTCTTCCAACTCTATGAATCTACGATTCTATGAATTATAAGTCCAAAAGGAAATAGTATTTTAGCTACTATTCTTGAGAAGGTTGTGGGTGTACAACATGGATGCAACTGAAAAAATATGTGAGAGGAGTTTGAATTTTGATTTAAAGGCTCCCTCATTTATCCCTCTTGTTATTCAAGCACCAGGGCAAAATGGACAATGCAAAAAAGGAGCCTAATGGAAAGGTAAGAGAATGAGCCCTGAAGGAAAGAAGAGACTCAAGAAACTTCATAGTCTGGAGAAGCAGCATCATAAGAAGGCTGAGAGAAAGAGACTGGCCTGCCAGAGAGACAAGGGAAGGAAAACTAGAGATTATGATTTCAGTATTAGCCCATATCAGTAAGAATTGTCATAGCAATAAACATGAGAAAATAGCAAATTCAGAAGACCCCACAACTAGAGGAACCATCTATAGCCATAATCAGTATATCTGTGGCAAAATACAGGATCATGCAGAAGGGCTCTGTTGCTCCTAAAGGGCTCTGTCCACCTAAACCAGGCACGGGTCCTCCAGTTGTTTTGGACTTCAATTCCCACCATTCCTAACAGCCTCAGACACCTTCCTTTTCCCCCTCAGCCGCTTAAGCAGAAAGGAAAGGGCTTGAGGTTGTTCGGAATGGTGGGAGTTGAAGTCCAAAACACTTGGAGGGCCGAAGCTTACCCATGCCTGACCTAAACTTAACCCCTCCTGGCAATAGAGTGAGCAATTGTTTGAGAAGACTTGTCAAGAATCTCAATCAAAATCAAAGCCAGAAGGGATATGTCAGTCTTTATGAGATAAATACACAAGAGGAGGCGCTCTTCTTTCCTTGCATAATCTTTGAAAGTAACTCTTAAATGGTTATATATGAAAAAAAACAGGTACCCTAAAAGGATTTGCTGAATAAAATTAAGGTATCTTTTTATATGCCAGGGGAAGAGCTGCCAAATTGGACAAAGAAATATTACATTTTGATCAGGCCTATTTGGACCCTGAATGTGTGTCTTTTCCTAGCTACCGCTTTATGGTAGCAAGTTCAGATCTAGGAAGAATAATGTACCCAAGCTCTGGGCAAATATAAAGGGCCATGGTGGCACAATTAAACCCCTGTGCTGCTGAACTTCTGACCTGAAGGTTGGCAGTCCAAATCTGTGGGATGGGATAAACTCCTGCTGTTAGCCCAGCTTCGGCCAACCTAGCAGTTTGAAACATGCAAATTTTTTCATGCCAGAAGTGACTTGAGAAACTGCAAGTCACTTCTGGTGTGAGAGAATTGGCCGTCTGCAAGGACACTGCCTAGGGGACACCCGGATGATTGATGTTTTACCAACCTGTGGGAGGCTTCTCTCATGTCCCCGCATGAGAAGTTAGAGCTTGACAGACGGGAACTTGACCTGCTACCCGGATTCGAACCGCCAACCTGTTGGTAGACCAGTCCTACTAGCACAAGGGTTTAACCCATTGTGCCATCAGGGGCTCCAACATGCAAATTGGAGTATATAAATAGGTACTGCTTCAGTGGGAAAGGCATAAGACACTCCAAGCACTCATGCCGGTCACATGACCAGAAGGTGACAACGCAGGCTCCTGGGCCTGGAAATGAAGAACAGCACCTCCCTCAGAGCCAGAGGTGAGCACCGCCTCCAAGCTGGAAATGAAAGGAGACGCCTCTGCCTTTGTGTTTGTGTGTCTCACTGTATTGTAAAAAGGCATTGAATGTTTGCCGGGTTCTGTTTAGTGTTTACACTGCAAACCACTCTGAGTCCCCATGGGGGGAAGGGCAGAATATAAATAAAGTGTTATTATTATTGTATTACTTGTGGAAGATAAAAGATTAGCAAGTATGAGGAAACCCATGTATAAACCCTCCATTCCAAACATTAGCCTAATCACCTCACCTTTCTGTGTATAGATTTGGGCAAGCTCAGCAAAACGGATGTCATAGCAGATCCCAAGTCCTATTTTACAGTATGCTGCAAGAAGAACAATTAAGATATTCATTACAGTAAATTCTTACTGTAGACATGCTAAAGGAGTGACTTCCTGATTAATAGGCATCCTCTCTAAATTACAGTGCAACCCAGAATAATAAAATGCATGGACACATTACAAATGAATACAGGTGTATTAAAAATAAAGTCAATAAATTTTCCATTAAAAATATACTGTGAAAAAAGTTACCCACTCTCAACAGGCTAGCAACACATCTCCCTCTGTGAATGCAAGCTATAGCAACACACATTTGAGTGACCCATCTGACTGATTTAGAATCAAATCTGATTGGAATCCTTAAAATATAGTTATGAAATTGGTACTATTTAAGTGTTTTGCATATAATTTGGTGTTAAGGCTAAACAATGAATCAGTTGTCTGAAATGAGAAAAAAATGAGTTAATGAGCTTGTGGCACCACAATAATTTATGGTGGTTAAAACAAAACAAAAAATTGGGGGGAGGGGTTTTGAGATAACATTATATATAGTTCTGGTCACTGCATTTCAACATGAATACCATAAAGCTAGAAAACGGACAACATTTATTTACTTATTTATTTACAGTATTTATATCCTGCCCTTCTGACCCTGAAAGGGACTCAGGGCAAACCACAGACATAGACAGGACAGACACAGTACATACTAGAGGTATATAGGCTTTTCCCATCTTTGGTTTCTGGGAGGTTGAACTTGATTCCAGCCACAAGGCGGGAAGGGTGCTGTCACTCCATCCACCATGATGAGGAGCCCTGTTCACAGACTTCCTCCTTTGATCAAATTACTGGTATTTTTCTGGGATTTCCTTATGGTGCCATTAAAATACCGCTCCGTTTAAGCAGTACTTATTTATCTACTCACAGCTGTTTTTGATCTAGGTGGGCTATGAGATGGGCTGAAGGTTGGCGCTTACCCCCGACCTGGGCTTTTAACTGTCAACCTTTCAATTGAGATTTATTGCAGCTGGTGGTTAACCTGCTGTGCTAAAACCTGGCCACCCATCAAAAATTATCCAAAGGACTGAACTAACTCTTTTATGAAGAAATATTTCAAGTGTTGAGTGATTTTAGTCGGACAAACAGTGAGTAAGTTAGGATGTGTATATTATTATGCATGTTACAGAAGAAGAAAAAAACAAAGCAAAGCCTTTCTTGCTGTCTCACAAAACTAGTACCCAGAACCATCTACTGAAAGTGAAGACAAGGGACGTAGTACTTCACTTAGGACACTGATTGTGAAATGAGTTGCCACAAGATACAGTGCTGACTGTCATCTTTAAGAGAACTGACAGTTTTGTGAAGAATATACCAACTAGCCACAACATCTGTATAGTTCCCCAAATGTCACGGTATACGTGTAACGGCTTCTAAGAGTCGAAAGTGGCAGGAGCTGTCAATGTTCACCTTGAGGATTTCCCATAATGCCAGCCAATAGAACCACAAAATGACAGGTGAGCCAGGCTTTTGAGTCTGATTTAGCACAATCCTATTTACATTTTGAAAAGCAGATGCAATTATCAGAACAAGAGGGGATGTCAGCATAAACAGGGGGAAACAATACTTAACAATACCCAGATCTCAGAATCTCTGAGGATGCCCGCCATAGATGTGGGTGAAACGTCAGGAGAGAACGCTTTTAAAACATGGCCATATAGCTCAGAAAACTCACAGCAACCTAATTATTCCGCCCATGAAAACCTTCGACAACACAATACTTAAACATTATTCCTGATCAAAGTTCTCGTAGAACGCTAACTGAATACATCCCAATGTTTACTGGTTATCACTAAAATTCTAAAATTAAGACTCTTTACTTACGAGTATCGAACATAGAGAACTTGTCACCAGGACTTAACGTTTCTGATTCCTGAAAACGGATTTTCCCAGGAACATCGATGTCAAACAGGTGAATCTATTTTCAAATTTTAAAAAGGCACAGATTGGAAATGTTTCAGCAGAAATTATATTAGCTTTGTATTCTCTTCTCACATTGATAGGCTTACTAGAGAATCATCACATAATAATAGCCTTTTTAAAATTACGCTATTGTCAGGGGCTAAACATTCTAAGTAACCAGATGTGAAAATATTTATACATAGATGGTGTTCATTATTTGTTCATTATACACTCCTTGCACAGCTGGAAAGGCTCTCAGAGCCTCAGATATAGCAACAGCAGCAAAACAAGGTGGAAGTGTGGAATAGTTATCAATGTGCAGACCTAGATGTCTCAAACATAGATCTGAATGTAGAAGAAGTGGACATGGGCAAAATTTTGCTATAGTATACAGGGATTTGGCAAGTCAGAATCAAATTACTTTTAGTTGTGTAGCTAACTTCTGCTCTCCTTGGGGACAAAGTGCAGGATGGCAACGTAACAAGTAAATAATTATACAATGCCAAAAAGGTCTCTAAATATATAACCATGATGGGTGCTAAATGAAACATAAAGAATTATATTAAAAAGTGTACTGGATTGCTCCAAACACTCAGTATATTTGTAGCTTACCTTTCTGTGTTTGGCCAGCATTGTGCCATCTGGTGCATGTATTATACATTACTAGTTGACATCATGCCAATATCCCCCTCTGCTTAACATGCTCATTAGGTGGTTGTGAGAAGGACATATAAATGGGGATGCCCAACAGACTACCAAATTAGCAGAATTTGTTCAAAGGGGGTGGTTGCCTTTGCCTTCCTCAGAGGCTGAGAGTGTGTGATGTGTCCAAGGTCAACAAGTAGGTTTCTATGGCTGAGTGGGATTTCAACACATGCCTCCGGTCATAGTCCAAAGCTCAAATCAATACATCATATTGTCTCCATGGCTAAAAAGGAAATCCATAAAAACGGGTTTACCTTTCTGTGTTTGGCCAGCATTGTGCCATCTGGTCCAAAAACTGTGCATGTGTTATACAGTTTCCCATTCTCCTCTTCTGGAATAGAACCTTTCATTAAAGAGGGGAAAAACTTATTATTTAGCTAACACCTAAAATATAATAGTCATGGGAAACTAAAATGCATGGGAGTTTACCTCCAATGAGAAAGACGCCACATTCCTTTGCAACTTCTGAGAGCTTTTGTGTGGATTCTCCAGGAATTTTCTCTGCATATTCTGAAAAATATTTTGTGCCATACAGGGAATTGAAGCATTCCTGGAATTGGAAACAAAATGAGAGTCACCCAAACAGCATGTCCAGGAAATTTGAAAACTTTTAAGAAACATAAGAGAAGATGGCAGGAATAAAACTATTTAATATTCTACAGCTTTAGCAAAGGCTGTTGAATGAACTTCAGTGTAATAGCTATGGATCTGCAAAGAAAAAAGAAAACTAGCCTTTGATATTAGTGCCATTCTGCCAGCATAAAGTGATTAGACTGTGCTTGCTGAAAAACTCTCATTTTCAACCCTAACTATCAAACCCAATAATTTGGCTCTAACTTCATCTGGATAGGGTTTGGTTGTGCTGCTGTGCTTGTACTGGATCCAAAACTCGACCAAATAACCTTTTTTTCCCCCAGAATTTGAGATGCAATCCCAAATTGAGTTCTGGTTTCACTTTTCTTCTTCATGTTTTGGTGCTTTTGGAAATCCATGAGAAAATTCCAAGTCAAAAATTGGACCTTGGACCCACCTATTGCCCAATTCTGTGTTATACAATGGACACAAAGATAACAAATGTGGAAAGTATGTATATCTAATTTAGGTGACACAGAAAATAAAGGACGAATGTAAACTTCATCATCTGAATGCTGCATTGTAAAAGTGAAAGGCATATATTGTTGGAAATAGCAACCTTCTACAAGCCTCCTATAATAGTTATTTGTTGTGTATACAATTCAGATTGCTTACTATATCGTACATATATTTTGATATGAAGTTTCCCCTTAACTCTATGTTGTTGGAGGTTGTTGGAGGGACTACAGACCATGTGATCAGATCTGGGACTATTCAGACTGAGACTCCCATTTTAGCAGTCAATACAATTTAGAAGTCAGTCAGTACAGTTGAGAAGTCAGCAGTGTCAGTATGCTGCAATGTATAGTCAGTCTGTATTGAGTCAATGTTCAGTAATGTATTAGACTGAAGAAAGTGTTAGTCTGTATGCAACAAAGAAGAGACGAAACAGAATATTTTAGAGAACTTACCGTTTAAACTATCAACCAATAAGAAACTAAGTCACCCGAGGGCTGAGAAGGGCGGTATACAAATACAGTAAATAAATAAATAAAAATAAACTGTATGCCGAATACATGAAGTTTGTAAGTAAATCAACTATGTTAACTTTTAACAACAAGTACTTATTTTTGGTCTCCTGAGAGTATGA